ATTGCCATTGGCAGAAGGTGCCTGATGCTCTAAGCGTAAGGTATGCGAAGACCCGGTCGCGGAAGTTCTTGTTCCGTCGTCACCGAGGTTCGTAGCCCGGCGTTGCAATGAAGGCGCTGTTGGCAGGTGCGAGGACATTGCCGGTGATGATGTAGCCCGAAATGGCGGAGGAGGGTGAGCTGGAGTTGACGAAGATGAACTCGCTACGTAGGAAGGATGAGGATCATCTTCCTCAGGTAACACGGGCGCCGAAGCTGGTATGCCTTGTTGCTCGCCAACTAGAGGCCAGGATGGACCAGCGGCATCCGGTGGTTGGGAAGGTAACAGGCGTTCCTCGGCTCGCCGTAATCGCTCCTTCTCCGATATCCCGTGCTCTTCCTCCGGCACGCTTCTTGGCACCGAGAAAGCAGTGCTTGCGCCTGCGCCGTGTTGTTCGTATCCAGGAACACTGTCGTAGGCCTGGTCATAGCCGTAGTCATAATATTGACCGTTTTCGTCGTGGCCGTAATAGTATGGGTCGTATCCCTGCTCATCGTTTGGATCAACGTAACCTTCATGATGATAGTCGTTGTAGGCGTCTTTGTGACCTGAGTAATTTTGTGTCTGTTTCCTTTTCCCGTTGCGATCGCTGTCTTTTGTACCGATAATGACCTCGAACAAAGCGGATACAATGCCCTTCTCACGCCGTATTTGGTCCGTATCCACAAAGACACCACCCCAGGTTGAGAACATGCTGCCAGAGGCATCGTCACCTGCCGTAGCGGAACCGCCAGCAGTCGATGGTACATTGACTAAGCCAGCGTTTGCGACCATTCGGTCAAGACCGGTCAGCTTACCCTGGATGTCCACAACCACTTCAACGTAGTACTTGAATGAGATCATCGCGCCTGGAACGTTTGATATCGTCGGAAAAGCCTCGTCGGGTACGCGCACAGAGCATTTTATCTCGGCCGTCAGGGTCCTGGGATCAACAAAAAGAGGTGCAAAAGATTGACACAAGTCTTTCCGGAAAGTATGACTCGAACCGGCAGATGAGAGGGACAAGCCGCCGAGACCGGTTCTGGATTTTGGATAGTAATCCTCCGATTTGGTCTTGTCTCCTTTGCTATTAGCAACAACCGGAAGTGCAGGATGCATGTCGACTCGTGCAAGGCGATACAAGGTAATTATGATACCCTTCAAACTGCGGATGTGTTTTGTGTGATTGACGGTGACTTTGATTGGTATCTGATCACCCCTCAGGAAACCGCCCTTGAGTACGTCAATCGTTGCCGTAATGGTCTTGCCTTTGGGGTTCGTCCGACTGCCAGCTTGCGAAGGCGATCCGTCTGTGACAGTGTTGATTGAGCGAACGCCATACTCTGTCCCAGAAGCGTTTCCACTGCTTCTTTGGCTCCCATAGCTTACATCGCTTGGCGAAGGACTCCGTGCACCTTCCGTCTCATCAGCAGTGGTAGATCGGTCCAGAACGGATCCGGCTGGCGGAGGATTTGTACCATCGGGTGTTTGTGGTACTCCTCCTTCGGCTGGCCGTTTTCGCGAGGGCTTGTTGCGTGTTCTTCTGGATATAGGCTCAAGTGAGATGACTCGGGGTTTGAGCTGTGGAACCGGCGCAATGTCGATTGTGTCGGTGAGGTAGACCTTGGTGTCGCATGAAGCGGTTGGGGAAATTGTGGTGGGGCGGGTCAGGGTAGCATTAAGCATGTAAGATATAGTTCCACGCTCAAACTGCGGTCTACAGTTAGCAAGCGTGTCAGTTACTGCACGTCAGGGACGACTTACGTCGATGCTGCTAGGCAAACCCTTGGAGGGAAATTCCAGTTCAAAGTTGAAGTGGTATATACCCTCGGCTAGCCTGCCTTCTCCGCACAAGACCACCTCGTCCTCGAACAGGGAGACGAAGCCATTGCCAAAGTAGCTGCCTGCCTTATTCGCCCTGCCGTTGCCGACGCTGGAGCAGTAGTTTTTGTAGGCGTCGCCGGGGGTGTTTGGGTTCTTGAAGACCTGGGCATAGCCGTGCAGGGAGACGACCAGATGGGTGATCCTTAGCGGCTTGACAATCTTGATGATGACGGTGCCGCTGATGACATCGCCGGGCGTGTAGTGGCGGTGGGGGTCGTCGGACTGGATGTAGAATTCGGTGTAGTTGCGCGACTTGGAGGACAAGGGCGACTTGAAGCGGGACAGAAAGGACCTGGCGGAGACTGGCGAGGACGGCGTGGCGGAGGAGCGTGTCTGGCTGGAAGTCATACTCCGTGTGGTGCGCGCATTGTGCGGCCGCCCGCGAAGTCTGTGTGTCTGCGGTCTAATGGGCGGTAGTAGCCGGCCAGGGGGGGTGCGGAGGGCGACAGGCCAGGAGTCGGCCGTGAGAATGGGCTGGAGGGGTCGAGGGTGGCAGCAGAGAAAAAGGGACTACAGCAGCGACAGGGGACGCGCTCAGGTCGAGGACATAGGGCGTATGCGTATGCGTATGCGTGCGCGAGCAGGAGCAGCAGTGGCTTGGGGAGTGGCGCCCTCGACGGTGGCGACGCGCAATCGTCTCAGGTAGACTGGGGGCTGTGGCGCGGCCTGTTGCGGGTGGGATGTAGTACTCTACTGTGATGGCAGACTGGATAGCGCTTGGGTGTGGTCAGCATTGCGGACGGTAGCAGTGAAGCGCAGGAGGAGCGGTATGCTGCGGAGGCATCGCGGGACCCACGCGGGGAGGGAGAGGGATGGTGGCAGTGCTCTCTAGCGTCGCCGTGGGCAGTCCAGCCCGACGAGCACGGTGCGGCCACATGGCATGCATATGTCCAAGTGTATGTATACTACACTGAACATGGAGTATACACATCCACACACCAGCTCAAGGTGGGGTAGCCGACTGACAGGAAGACTGGACGGATCGTCGCTCTTACGTACCGCCTGGATCGCTGCACAAGGCTTGTTCAGAGCCGCACCGCTCTTGGCGCAGTACAGTGTCGTCGAGCCGGCGTGCCAAGGAGCATGTGCTGCGGCGTCTTTGGTGGGCGAGGGGAGGCGGACGGCTTTGGGCTCTCGACGGTTTGGGGGCGGCTACCAGCTGTTATTTGATGCCAGACACCCACCCACTGCCCACTACCCTCTACCCGAGACTGAACTAGGCCGCCCTCCTCAGCCTGCACGCCATCCCATGCCTGCACCTGTGCATTTGTAAATACGCCGGCCCAGCTTCCCCGTCCATCGCGCCCCCCCGGCACCGCTACTCCCACTGGCTGTCGCCGCGAGAGAACCCCATCCTCCCCTCGCTTGTCACGCTCGACGGGAGGGGCGTCCGCAAACTCTGTTTCCCCTCCTCGCACCACCGCCAGCTGAACCCCCTCCACGACGTCTGCTACACTCCTTGTCTTGCTGCCATGGCCAGCATTGCAAACACTGTCAACACTGTGCCCAACTCCACCATGGCGCTTCCGTCCACTGTTTGTCCGAGCCGGGCGCTTGTCGTGATACCTTCGGCCCTGTTTCCGTCTGCCATCGCGATCCCTTACTACCCTGGCACCGATCTGAGCCAAGCTTCGGTGCCAAGCTGGGCCGCAAGGCTTGTTGGTGGCACGTTAGTGCGACACCTGGATTCGTCCTATTACATACCATTACGGGGACAAAGGGGCTGAAACTTTTTGCTGACGACCCATACTACTCTTGCTCCGGAACACTGGCTATGCATGTTTGACGGAGACTGGACCACCGTCGATGACGAGGCGCTACAAGCATCCCCTCCACCACCTACTCGACATCAGCTAGGGACCGTCGGATATGTCCCCAATCATGCACATTCAATCATTTGACACATGACTCTCCTTTGCGTTGTCTCTCTGACTCCACCCATACAGTGTACAGACACCCTCTTCTCTGCTCTTTTGTACTAGCACAAACATGTTTCTCGGGCCGTCACGTCAACGGGGCATGTTGTCCCGAGTCTGTACGGGTTCCACCGGATGTCCTGTTCCCGGCACCCATCCTGCTGTACAACAGTAATGCCGCTACGCTTACGCCTGCTGCATGCGGTTGGCTATTTGGAGGCACATCTGGGACATTTGTGATATATCCCTCACCAAAATCCTGGTCTTCATGCTAGTACTCTTACTAAGCTGATAAACTCGAATCCTTCCTTCAGGAGGGAACATCCTGACAAAACATTGGGCGCCATTGCATACTCATAGTTACATAAAGATCGTCGTCACCCAACTTGCTGCGTTGAGTCACGTGCACCCGATCGGCAGGGCCGCCGATAGAAATCTTACACGCACATGTATTAGGGTAAGACCGCAGAACGTTCCGTAGGTGCACGGTTTGCGGTTCGATCAATAGACGTTACAAACCAAATCTCACCGTTGTGTACTAGATCTGTCAGACGGAAACAGAAAGGACACAGACGCAAGCGGAGAATGCATCCACAATAGCGTTAGCCCTCCATGTCAGGACATACAGCTCAGTGTTAGTGCAACATGGCAATATATCCCATTTTCCATTCGAGTGTTAGTTCGGCGCTTTCAACATCGCTCAATCATCTACTTATATTACTGTTCGGACAGTTGCGGTGGTATAGCAGCTGTTGTGCAGGTTGGTGCTGGTGCTAATCACGTGGCTTACGAAAAGAGTATATACGTCCTAGCCAATCAGCTTCGAGCTGCGAGTCCTCAATCAATGGGACCTTCCGAGCCTCTCTCTTCGGGCTGACATGCTGCCCGAAAAAGCAATTACCCGCGTGATTCTTTTGCGGTTTGTCCATTGATGACAATAAACCATGTCGCATCGACTGCAACAAGCAGTCCACACTTCACGGAATGCTAGGAGACGTCGGGTCAAGGCTTAACTTGATAAAGAACTCCAAGATAGTGAGGCGGCATGGCTTTGAGGCTTGCGCCGCTTGGGCCGCTAGCGCATAATGACATCGCCCAACCCTGGTGGGCTCCTTCCTTCACGTGTAACCCACAACCAGCGACGCCATCGCTGTTTATGGCGATTCAACTTTCATCTTGGCAATGCTACCTATAAGTAAACATAACAAAACTTGTCCCGACGAGACTGGAGATCCCTGGGGCACTTTGCGCCCACGCGATGTCCGTCTCCAACTCTACCTCTCCCTAGGCCTAGGCGTGGGCGCATTTCTTATCTTTTGCGTATGTTTTGGCACCTTCCAAACGGCTACATGCCTGCTAACTGGCTGCATCAGTTTCTTCGCCCACGATGGAAAGGCCTCTACGCTGCGCGCAAGAAGCAGAAGAACCTCGCAACGGCGCTCCCCGACCTCCCCGACAGCTTTTTCGGCTGGATGATACCACTATGGAACATCACCGACGAACAGGTGCTGGCCTCGGCTGGCCTCGATGCCTACGTGTACCTTGCATTCTTCAAAATGGCAATCAAGTTTCTGCTCATCACCCTCTTCTTCGCCCTCGTCGTCATCAAGCCAGTACATGATACCCACCAGGACAAAGAGGGAAAGAAATCTCCAATCCACATCGACCCAGGCTCTGAGCACATTGAGGTTCGCAGTACCTTTACTACGTTTGCCGCCGAATATGAACGCTACACCGACTATCTGTGGATGTATCTCGTCTTCGTCTACCTCTTCACCGCCCTTATCTTATACTTGATTGTCTCGGAAACTAGAAGGATTATTGAGATTCGACAAGAGTACCTTGGCGGCCAGACTACCATCACCGACCGAACCATCCGGCTTTCCGGTATTCCCGTCGATCTTCGCTCGGAAGACAAGATCAAGGCGTTCATCATGGATCTTGGTATCGGAACGGTGGAGAGTGTAACGCTATGCAAGAACTGGAAGGAGCTGGATAGCAAGGTTATTGAGAGGCGTGGCATCGTCAGAAAGCTCGAGGAAGCCTGGACTGTTCATCTTGGTAGCCGAAGGGTGGAACGCAGCCTCGAGACTCTTCCGGTAGTCCAACCACAACCACCAGAGCCCTTGGCCGATGACAGCAACAACGACAACGAGAGAAGCAATTTCCTGAGCGACACAGAGCGCGACTCTAGCCACATCGTCCCCTATGCCAAGAAGCGCCCGAAAATCAAACTATGGTACGGCCCTCTCAAGCTAAGATATAAGAAAGTGGATGCCATCGACTATTATGAAGAGAAGCTGCGAAGAATCGACGATGAAATCAGAGCTTTGCGCAAGAAGGAGTTTGAACCAATGCCTCTGGCGTTTGTGACAATGGACAGCGTTGCGAGTGCTCAAATGGCGATTCAGGCCGTACTCGACCCTTCACCATTGCAACTCTTGGCAAGAAACTGTCCAGCACCGTCAGACGTTGTCTGGTCAAACACGTATCTGACTCGTTCTCAAAGGACGTTCAGGTCTTGGTCCATCACAGTCGTCATCGGCATTCTGAGCGTGTTCTGGACGGTTCTTTTTGTGCCCATTGCCGGTGCTCTAAACACATGTTCTATTGCTGGGGTTCTCCCTGGGCTTGCGGAGCTGTTGGAGAAGCATGAAACTCTTGAATCAATTGTCAACACCCAACTTCCGACGCTGGCATTGACTCTTATCAACGTAGCTGTTCCTTTTCTATACGACTGTAAGTAGACTGGCTCTCACCAGTGATTACCACTTACGCTAACGATTTGCAGGGCTTGCAAACAAGCAAGGCATGATCTCGCAGGGTGATGTTGAGCTATCAGTCATTTCGAAAAACTTCTTCTACACCTTCTTCAACTTCTTCATACTCTTCACTATCCTAGGAACAGCGTCCGGGTTCCTGGCTATCCTTGAGGGCTTTGCCGAAAAACTCACAAGTGCCACGGAGATTGCATATGCTCTGGCTACCTCACTTTCCAACTTGTTAGGCTTCTATACCAACTTCATCATGTTGCAAGGGTTCGGAGTCTTTCCGTTCCGACTGCTGGAATTTGGCGCTCTTTCCCTGTACCCGGTCTACTTGATGGGTGCTAAAACACCTCGGGACTACGCTGAGCTTGTGCAGCCGCCAGTCTTCAGCTACGGTTTTTACCTGCCGCAGACGATTCTCATCTTCATCATCTGCATGGTCTACAGTGTATTGAAGGACTCTTGGCAGGTTTTGCTTACTGGCCTAGTCTACTTCATGATTGGCCACTACGTTCACAAATATCAGCTTTTGTATGCTATGGAGCACCGCCAGCACTCAACTGGAAAAGGTTGGACTATGATGTGTGACCGCGTCATTGTCGGCGTTGTCCTCTTTCAGATCACTGTCGCTGGTCAATTGGCTTTGAAAAAGGCTTTCAGGCGCGCAGTGCTCATAGCCCCGCTCGTGGTTGGTACTCTGTGGTTTTTGTTTGTTTTTGCACGCACCTATCGGCCACTGATGAAGTTTATTGCTCTCAAAAGCCTGCGAAGGCCAGAGCAATCTGACCTGGGTCGCGATGTACAAGAAGAATCCTTTGGCCCTGGGCGAAATGGCCGAAGGATCATGGGCAGACTCACCTTGGACGAAGCCCGCGAGAGCGGTCTACGTTTTGAGAATCCTAGTCTGGTTATGCCGTATGTATTTCTTCTTCACTATTGACTACTGGTGCTGACCTTGTCCAGGCTTGACAATGTTTGGATCACCAACAAACCCGCAACATCTCCAAGTGGATCAGATAGTTCGGCGACCAATGGTGCTGACGGCAACTGGAACTAACATGATTGCACCTTGCTTGGTGTTTACGCTCACGACGCCCCTTTGTGTATCACGTCACGATGTCAATTTCCTGTAATACGCTTTTACTCGCTTGCTTATTTTGTGATTTTGTTCCTTCGCTCATTTGTGTTTAATTGATACCCTCGTACGCAACGCAAATTGGTTATGAGTTTTTATGAACAATCTTTACCTTGGAAAGCCTGATTCAACGAGCCCCTTGACACACGACCATCTTCTCCACCCCCAATGCCTCCCTCATGCTTGGAAAACCTCCAAACTTCGCACTTGCCCGCATCCGTAACCGCCGAGATAACAAGACACGGACTTGTCTGCACGGAAATCTCACAAACATTCGCCAGCGTAGTTATGCGGGTACCGCGTAGAGAAAGCGGCCACGTGGGTCCCTCCTGATGATGCACCGCGCCAGTCTCGCCATTCGCACGCGGTTCGTCCCACCAGTTGAGCCAGTGGTTAGTATCATGTTGGAGTAAACCATCTGGTTGGCCCTCGGTGGGAGAAAAGCGGCATACACGGCGTGGGACGGAGTATAGAATGATGGTATCGTCGTAGACGGCCACTATGCGTGCGCCCTGGGACATGTCTGCTGCAGCGCGGTAGAGCTTTGGTGGTGCTTCCCCGTTTGTCGGGGGGACGAATTCGATTTTACGGGCGAGGTCGTCGGTGCCTAGGACGAGGCGGTTGCTGATCTGGTCGACGAAGAGGACGTGGGAGCCGTTGTCGTTCAGGGGGATGCGGTTGTAGTAGTAGTAGTAGTAGTCGTCGTCGTCGTAGTCGTAGTAGCCTGTGGGGTTTGGCTGGCGAGATGCAATTTCGTATTTGGAGGAGCCGTGCCAGTGGGCGTTGGGGAAGAGTCTGCGTTTTAGCCAAGGGCGGTTGGCGTGGTGGGCGGGACTGGACAGGATACGCAGTATGTTTGACGAATCGTGGGCTGGTCGTCGTCGTGGGCGCACGTAGACGTGGTCGTTTGGGGCTGTGGAGGGAACCCAGCGATGGAGACTTTGGCCTGAAGGGGAGTCGATCCATTGTACGTCCAGCCCTTCTGAACAGCCAAAAACTACACACTGGCCTTGGGGGCATAGAGCGACGCTCCGTGGTGGGTCATCCTCGGAGCCCAGATCGCTGTAAATGGTCGAGTCGTCTTCGACCAAGTTCCACGTCTGGTTGACCAGGTTGTGCTCATACAGAGCACTGTTGTTGGCGCCCGTGATGCTTATCCTCTCGCTGTTTGACACGATATCAATCGTGTTGAACTGCGTACGCTCCTGCTCTTCCTCCTGTGGGCCATGCCCAAACACCTCTTCTGCCAGTTTTCGCACCATACCCACCCGGCCTTCCAAGATGGCAGCAATGGCGTATCTACTACTACCGCCATATGGGCCCATGGCCATGGCCAGTACTCGTCCTGGGCATTCGACGCTTGCCATGTATACCGGACGGCCAGCGTCGAGCTGGTAAATCCGGATCAGCGCTCCCTGGGCTACGCACAGAAACCGCGAGCAGGTACTTGTGGTGAATATTAGTTCACTACTACTACCGCCCACTTGGCTGTCCCTCAGCCCGCTGAAATCCACCTCTGAGCTCTTGGTGAATACTGCCTCTGTTTCCACCCCAGCCCGGCCTGGCGCCAAGGCACATTCTCTGGCAAGTTGGCAGCTGAGCATTTGCCATCCCTTGCTGGTATCCTCGCCCGTCCATCCACCCCTCTCCAGCATTACCGTCAGCAGACTCCTATCCAGACTGGCCTCCATCCATGCTCGGCATGTGCGCCGAGCAGCATTGAAGTCCTTTGGTCCCAGGTATCCATATATTTGCTGGAAGATTTCGACTGGAAGGCCCTTTGTTGAGGCCATATTTGTTCTGTTGTTGTTGTTGTTGTTGTTGTTTTGCAAGTTGGTTTGGTGTAGTAGTCGTCTTTGGAAGGGAGGAAATTGGAGAGTATGTTGAAGTTATGATAGGAGTCCTTTGGGCAACGAAAACAGGCGTATATAAAGCATAAAGGGAGAGGGTAAAAATTCAAAGTATATGTTAGAAATGCGAAAAATTGTAACCATGGTTGTGAGTTTTTCGAAGGCATAGTAGAAATGCGACGGATTGTATCCGTGGTTAGAAAAGTGGGTATCGCGAAGGCAGATTGTTGAAACCAGTGGTATCCCAAGAAATACCCACATTTACTACGGCAATCCATCTATCCAAGATATAATTTTCGCAACCGTTGAAATTACCCATGGTCTTGCATTTTGACATGGTAGTAAATATAATTATGGTTCGTCTTGTATCATCCCTCCCCACTCCAAAACCAGAAAAAACACGTGATATCTGAACGCAAAGGAGTGTTAAATCCCATTCCCTTTTCAATTTTCAGCACATGAAGAGATTTTCATATAAAGTTTTATTGCTGAGTAAGTTTTCTTGACATTTCCTTCCCTTAATCACCTAACTGCAAAACTAATTTCAGAGCTAAGATTCTATACCTAGGTATTGCTATATACATGTCTGGAATTTTCTCCTTATGCATAGTTACACAAAGATGCAGTGTCAAGTGTTACTACCTCTGCTGTTGTTTCTGGGAAACACGCCATGTTCACCGCTTGATGCGACAAATTGAGGGATGTCATGACGTGATTCTGGTTAATATACGACACGTGACATGGGGTGAGGTTAAATCGTTGTTGCATAGTTTTTAATTTCTCTACTGGCATGTGATGGGTATTGAATAGTTTGAGTGGAGTTACTGTTTGTCTTGATGTCGCAATGTCTGCTAAGTAAAGTGAACTTCTTTTTTGTTTCTTCTGTGTCTGGCAAGGTTTGCGAGTATGATTGTATCCATGTGTATACTGTTGCGCCTCGTGTTGGAAGCATGGGATAAGTCTTGATTTTTGTTCATATGAAAGCTTAGGAGGTTGAGCGATATAGACAGGCGGGGCTGGTTGATATGGATGGTGGTATGATATAGATATGGGTGTGGACATGAACATCAACGTGAAGACGTTGGCTTGAGAGTGTGCACAGCAAGGCTGCATGTCCAAGTAACATGCAAAGACTAAAGGAAAACTGTGAAGAATGGTTCAAGTTGCCCAATTCAGAAGGGATATGTTTTTGAGTGGGTAGCTCTTTCCAGCCCGAAGATTTTCGGCACGTTTACTGTATGGGGCCAGCAAAGGATAAAACAAGGCAAAGAAGCAAGACATGTTGGACAAGAATTAATACCAGGATGGTGAATGTCGCGCACGAGGATGATGATCCTGCCAACGGTGAAGCCGATGATTGCTTATTTTGCAAGAGAGGCAAAAGAAAGGAAAAGTAACCAGTTGTTTAGCAGCGCGGGCAGCGTGAGTGGATGTCGAGGGGTTTTGGCGAAGAGAATTTGCAAGTCGACAGTGCGTAGGTTGTTAAGGACCAGGAAGGAAGTATCGATAAAATGGAATGCGGATATCAAGCGAGATTAGGCAAGAGGGAGCGGGGCGGGGGAGTGGGAATTGTAAGAATCGGGGGATTGAAAATAAACTAGGTAGGGCGGAACACGTAATCACGGGCACAAAGGGCCGAAGGGAGAGCAAAGCACAATGGGGAAAAGCATTGGCGATCATCCGCTTGTAATACGTGCGGACAGGCCTTCCCAACAGTTGCGAGGGCTGATGGTGAGGTCGAGGGCTGAAGAGTGCAGATCGATCAAAGGCCATGCTGTTGTGTGTTGGGGGACGCACGGAGAAGGAGATGCAGGTGACGATGGCATGACCCAGCTAGCTAGCCAGCCAGCCAGCCCCCCCTGGCGAGAATTATTCTAAATCTATGTAGGCACAGCAGATTACGCGTTCGTGAGCGGGGTGGAGGCTGGAGCAAAACATGGACGGGGAGACAAGAGAGGCTGGAGGGTGTTGAGGGAGCGAGGGGCGGGAGGGCTAAGGAATGACGGTGTCATGTCCTGCAGCGAGCTGTGCAGCAATGCGATGCATCGGAGCAACGGGGTTGGGCGGCGGGTGCAGTAGCGAACCAGAGGGCGTGTTTGGGGCTGGGGAGGAAGCAGTCTATCGAGAGGCATAATCAAAAGGAAATTTGGCAAAAACATGCGTGACGGGTGGCTGGCAGCAAGGAACAGGCTAAGGTTCAGGGTTTGGGTGAGGGCAGGGCCAGAGTGTGGTGGTCAGCATGACGTGCGGAGAGAAGCGGCTGCGACATTGTAAGTATGTGCGTGTGCGCGTATATGTGTGAGTGGATGGACGTGGTGGTAGTAGGTGTATGTATGTGGTATGTGTGTAGTGTATGCAGCGCCAGCGCCAGCGCCAGCCACCTGGAGGAGAAATGGCGGAATGGAGTAGACAATAGTGTACTAGCAAGTGAGTAGTACCAAGTAGAGGGGACAGGAGGTTTTAGGGCGGCGATGGGAGGATGCAGAGCAGCAGCAGCAGCAGCAGAGCAGATGCGTGTCGCAGGCGTAAGTACAATACAGTCGAGAACAAAAAGGCTAGCAGCAGCAGCGTCAGTGCGAGCCATGATGGCGGCATGGATGGGGCACGCCACTGTAGACGGCTCCCCCCTGAGCTCGGCTGGCTTGACAAGAGGCGTGTTGCAGCCGGCCATGTCGACACGTGTGTAGGGAGGGCATGTAGGGAGTTGAGGTAACGCAGGAGAGGGTACAGGGCGGAAGCAGAAGCAGAAGCAGAAGCAGAAGCAGGCAAAGTCCGTGGGTCCGGCTGCTGCAGGCATGCGGGTGCCAAGGCGTGTTTTTGTTATGAATTATCGGAATTGCTTTGTGGCTGGGGGTGGAGTGGCACCGGGTAGCGAATACCAGCAGGCCGGCGGCGAGCGGTGGTGCATGAGGTGCAGCCAACGAGGCATGCCTGTGTCAATCGTTTCCTTGGGGAGCTATCCAGTCTTCGGCAATGGGCTTGCGGGCGGCAGAAGGGCAGGCCAGATGACGACGCGGCGATGCGACGATGCGGCGATGCGACGATTGTCGTTGAGGGCGTGGGGCGTGAGTGTGGTAGGCTGGCCGGGCTGGAGGCGTGCAGGCTAATTTTGGCGTGCACAGGAGGGTCCCTGACATGGAGTCTGTGTCTGTGTGCATGTGCATCCTGGCATCCTGGCATCCTAGCAGCCGCCCACTTGGTGTCCCACCACCCCTCGACCAGCAGTTTGCCGTTTGGGACTGGAACTGGGTGACAGCGCCCGCCAACACCAACACGGCAACGTGCCAGACGGGCCCTCTTGACGCCGCACGCTCACGACCAGACCACGATGGTGATGATGGTGAATGGCAACCCGACAGCAACAACAACAACAACAACAACAACAATGGCTAGGGCCAGGGCCAGGGCCACAATGGACTGCAGGTCGAGTTGAGAAACATCAGACGGTGCCCAAGAAGGGCAGTCGTCGATGGAGTCCAAGCGGCACTATGCCTCGTACGGCGCCCCGCTATAGAACGGTACCTTTTGATCCCCATCTGTCCCTAGTACACAGTAGGCTCGTTGCTCGGTTGGCTGACGGCGGCGGCGCACTCCTGACTACTGCTGCTGCTGCTACTACTGCTGTTGCTACTGCTGCTGCTGCTACTGCTGCTACTGCTGCTACTACCACCATCTGTCTGTCTGCCTGCCCACCCGCTTGTCTACTACTTACCGGCTTGCTTGCTTGCTTGCACTTGTCTGCCCTACCCCAGCCATTGCCAGCTACTGCCATCCGTGCACTCATTCTCTTATACTCTACTCGCTCGCTGGCCAGTCGTTTGCTCCACCTGCCCGCCTCTGCCCTCGTCGACATCCACCCTTCTGTTTTTTGTTGCTGTTGCTACTGCTGTTGCTGCAAGACACTGTCGCTCGCTGCTCCTGCTTCTGCTTCCTGCGCCTCACCACCCCTACCCGGTAAGTCCGTCGCCGTTCATCCATCCATCCATCCATCAGGAACCCTTCCATCGTGTCGGCATGAGCGGATCATCCATTTGCATTCACCCCCCTCCAGCCTTGACAGCCTCCCGCTTAATTGGCCACAATCCAAACCCCCGTGTTGCCATGATGATGATGACGATGGCCGACCCGGCCCTGGTGCCATTCGTGCCTAGCCAGCACGGTCCCGTCGTTGAAACACGGCGATACGAAGACACCAGTCCCTCTCAGCTCATCCACCACCATTCACCGTCTGCGCCTCCCTCCGCATGCGCCTGCGCCCCCCGTCACCTCTCTCGGTCAATACCACGCCGCCACGCGACAACACTCGTTTGATGCACAACTAATTCGACTCTGTAGAAGATATCCCCTCGCTCCCTCACCCGTCCGCCCGCTGATCCTCCGCCGCCGCTACACCACCTCGGCTCCTGATCGCATCCATCGCACCCGCCCCAGACTGCCCCCAACTGCATCCGCCTTCGCCGAGTTGCCTTTTGGGTGCATGATACTGTCGCTTCACGCTTGAGAGAGGCCGCTGTAGCCAGTGGCGGGCGCTCCTTCCACTGCAAATTCACAACAAGCAGCAGCACCACCATGGTCAAGCCAGGTCTCGGCCTCTTCACCACCCGCCGCAAGTCGCAGGGCAATGTTTTCGAAGAGGTCGACGTTGCCACCAGCCCCGACACGACGGCTCCCCCTGCGCCCCAGCCGGCACATGCAGACTCTGGCGGCTTCCGTCTGTTGAGCAGGACAGAAGTGGAAAAAGCCAAAGAACAGCGCAAAACACAAGAGAAGGAGCGTTCTTCAAAGTTCCCTCGCTTCAGCAGCTTGGGTAGCAAGAATCGCAACCAGTCTTTTGACGACGATTCTCCAGGCTCGTCTAAGCGGTAAGTCTCTACCCGCTAAGTCATAGCGTCGGCCGGACTGACCCTTTAATTAGCGACAGCAAGTCAAGCAGTGGGACTCAA